GAGTACCAGCTGCTTTTAGTAGACTGTTAAAGGTTAATAGACTATCCTTCCAGAAGCCACTGTTGTGTATTTCTCCTTTTTTTTTTTTCAAGATTTACATATTTATTTAATAGAGTAACAGAGAGAGGGAGAGAACGTGATCTCCCATCTGCTGTTTCACTCCTCTAACAATCACAGCAGACCAAGGCCAGCCAAAGCCAGGAGCCAGGCCTCTCCAGTCTCTCACCCAGGTGGCAGGGGCTCAAGCACGTGGGCCACCTGCCGCTGCCTTCCCAGGAACATGAGCAGGGAGGTGGATCAGAAGTGGAGCAGCCGGAACTCCATCTGGCATCTAGACGTGAGACGCCTGTGTTGCCCGCAGCGGCTTACCTGACGGTGCCACCAGGCTGGCTCCCCTACCTTCCACCAAATGCATGTCCCCAGCTTGCACACCTACTTGCAGTTGCGATCTGTACATGTAGAACAGACGGAGTGCATTTAACACTGCTGCGCTTGACATGCCTGGGAGCCATGCAGTGGACATGGAAAGGATTTAAGCACCCAGGAAGTGCTTAGTCCTTCCTGTGCAGGTAGCACCTTTGCCAGGCCAGAGAAGAGCAAGAAGGAGAAGGACCTGATGTTACTTGCATCTTGATCATCATTAATCCTTGTGTCAGCCCTGTGGGGTTGTCCCCCTCTGACAAATGAGGAAATGGGCTCAGGGCACATGAAGAGCCGAGTTCAAGGCTCACCCCGCCCCGTATCCCAAGTCTCCACGTCCCCAGATAACCAGTGAGCTCTGTATGGTGTAGTTAAATGCTAACAAGTTAGCACGTAATTATAGACCATTTCGCACTGTATTGTATATAATTTAATGGTAATTGCAGGGTTTCAGAACTGGAGTGAGTGGGGGCAAGCATGTCAAGGGAAGACTTCCCGGAGACCTTGGGAACTAAGCTGGGCCTTGCAGAGGCTGGCTGGAGGCTAGAGGGGGATTTGTAGGACAGGGAACAGAATGAGGATAGCCTTGGGTTAGGAGAAGGGCTGGAGAGAGGGCCCAGGAAGCACTGTTACATAAATCGCCTGTGGAGTTTTGTCAAGATAACTGTAGAAGGACCAGGTACCGCGCTGACCCCTTTGTACTGTCACCATATCCAGTCCTCAGTTAATCCTGTGACAGGAATCAAAGACCAGCCAGACAGCTGCTGCCAATGCCCCCACTGTACAAAGAATACAAGGTAATATCACACCTGGCATCTGTGTCTGAACACCGTGTTCTTCCCAGCTCAAGTTCAGAGATAATCTGATTGCGGGTGAGAGTGCCGTGGGGATGACCTTGACCAGGACAGGGGCCTTGCTGCTCAAAGCATGATCCATGAGCTTTACCCAGGGGTAAAGCTAGACATAAAGATGGAGGGGAGGGGGCAGGCGTTCAGCCTAGCAGTTAAGTCCGCATCCCATGTCAGAGTGCTTGGGTTCAGTACCCACTCTGGAACCTGACTGCAGCTTCCTGCCAGCGCCAAGCCCAGGAGGCAGCATTGCTCAGATCATGGGACGCCTGCATTGAGTTCCCAGCTTGTTGCAGGCATTTGGGTAGGAAACTGTGGGTAGGTGGGTTCTCTCTCTTGGGGGTGTGTTTATAGCATACTGAGATATAGATAATATATATTGATAAATGCAGGCCTGGATCCTACTCAGTCTTACCTAAGCAGTATCTGCATTTCCCTCCAGTTCCCTGGGGAGTTGTGTCTACACAGTGCAGGAGAAGCAGGGGGTGCTGAGATGCGAGCCTGGGTAGAAGCCCATGTCCTTCCTGTTGAGGTCTTCATCCTGGCGGAGAAGAACTGATGCCTTCCCCGGAGGTTCTGGGGTGATAGCCCCAAACATCCCTTTACCAACGGAAAAGTCTTTGAAGTCCCACATTTCATCTAAGAATGTCATTGGGAGTCTTATTCCATACCTTAATACATCCGTGATCATTTTCATACTTCAAAATGGTTATGTAAATTGCCGTGGAGTCAGATCCGTGTTCTGGAAAGCCGCGTGTCGATGGGGCTGCTTGTATCTCAAATGGGATGGTGATAACTGCTTGAGGAGCAGCTGTGAAGATCAAAGGAGGAGCGTGCAGAGGGAAATGCTGCATCAAACCCTTCACGCAGCACTCGTGTTGTAGCTCTGGAAGGAACAGAGAACCCGCCCCGGACTCGGTGTCCTGCAAACCGCGTCTTCCGAGGGCCAAGGTCTCCTGTGTTTTTCACAACGCAGGGTGAGTTGGGGCTCAGACCAGCAGCCAGAGGAAGACGAGAACAGGGGCCGTTGCCGCTAGCTCGGTTTTTGACTTTGTTGTGACTTCATAACACCCTCCTGTTGTATGGTTGTTCACTTCCTGTTGGTCAGAGTAGCTGGTGAAACTCGGAGTCCAGAGACATCATGGCAGGGGAGAAGCTGAGGCCACCGCACTGTGTTAAAGTGAGTGATGGTTTGGACAAGGAGTTGGCTCCTCAGACTTAGGCAGACATTTAAACCCCGGGGTCTTAAGTTTGTCTGTCAGTGGATTCAAAGTTGATGGAGTAGGATGGAAGCTTGATCCAATGATGGTGCTTCAAGAAGGGATTGGATTGGATTTAGGTGCTAGGGCGGAGCCCATGGCCCAGCCACGATGGCTGCTGGGAGAGGCCCAGAGTCAGTAGGTGTGTTCTTGCTTCCTGGACCTCCATGGACCACCTGGACCGCCTCAGTGCCCATCTGTCGGTCTCCCCAGATGTCTGAGCCGTGAGAGCTTCCCCACCTGGAGCTGTGGGACCTCCGAAATGTAGGCTTCTTTTACCCTAAGAAGCTACTCCAGGGTATTTGTTCCAGTAGTAAAAAGCTAGCTAGTACAAGAGTATAGAGAAGAAGGAATCAACGAGAACAAGCGGAGCTGTCAGAGGAGGAGGCAAGAAGATGGAAACCACCCGGGACCTGCTGGGAAACAGGAGAAAGGAGGGCTGGGCTGTCAGCCCTGACCGCAGAGTAACCACGGGGTACCCTATCTACAGGGTCCTGTTTCCCTGTGATGAGGGGGAGAAGGGCAGACAGGGAGAGACGGACAGCATTGTTCATCCTCACAGCAGGCAGGGGAGAAAGGGCGGCCAGAACAGGCAGCACGTCACCTGGAGAGGGCGGCTGGCTGAGGGCTGCAGACACCCCGTGGGTGCCCAGCTGCTCCCCCTGGCCCGGAGTAACGGAAAAGGGTGATGAAAGGGGTCCGGCATATGTAGGGAAAGCGGTCCTGCCTCACCCGTGGGTCGTGTTCTAGTAGATTCTGAGAACTGTGAGGAAGGATTATTATTTCTTTTCCACCTCTCCGTCTGCCAATGATATTCATTAGAATTGCCACATCAGTTGCATTTGTGTTAACAAATGTCCAACTTGCCAGTTAAATCTTCATCTCTTTAGTTTGTAGTGGTAACTTGGCGACCTGTATCAAGTTGATATTGTATCTTTAGTCTTGGCCACAAGTCATTTAAGAAATAGATAATGAATTGTGATGCATCGTTGGGAGCAGGATCCCATCTTGTTGAAAAGGATCTACGTGTGATTGTGCGTAGCAAGATAGCTTTGTGTTTTATGAACAGAGGAAAAATTTGGATGAGCGGCCAGCAGGTCATAGTAGAACTTTCTTGTTATGCGCCTTTGTCCCTCTAAATACCCATAATTGATTATATATTAATGATCCCTCCATAAAACTGTAATAGATCGTAATTGGGTTATGTCCGACAGCCAGCTCTTGGTGTCTTTTGTAAAACCTTTCACTGTGAGTGACAGATACTCAGCTGAATCCTCCCAGGCAAGCACTGAGTTGTCCAGACAAGTCCACAAGCGTAGGGCGGGCCCCAGGGACTCAACTGACATCATCAGGAGTCTGTCTCCCTCCCTCTCTTGGATCTGCTGTCTGTTTATGAAATGCGGAGAGAGAGAGAGAGATTATCTATTCACTACTTCATTCCCCAATTGCCAACACAACTACAGCTGGGCCAGGCTGAAGTGGACACCCGGGGATGCCAGGAATGCAGTCCGTATCTCCCGCGTGGATAGCAGGAACCCAGCCACACGCACTGTCACCCACTCTCTCCCGGGGGATGCATTAGCACGAAGCAGGGACGGGACATGAACCCAAGCACTGTGATAATGGAATGTGGGTGTTCCAAGTGGTGCTTGAGTCTCAGTACCTAGCTGCCTGCCCATGCTGTCTGTCATCATTGTCTTTTTTTGTTTGTTTGTTTTATCACCTTCATTCTTTGGTAGTTCCAGACCTGCATTTCTCTCCCAAGCTCAGCACCGTAGGAGAAAGAGAGCACCTCTTCATCCCAGGGCTGAGCCGGGTCTTGGTGGCTGGGGCAGCACTGTATTGATGGGCAGGGTCAAAGCCATGAGGCTCAGGAGATCCAAGCCATGGCAGGAAGCCAGTGAACGGCGAGAAGTTCTAGATGTTTCCCCAAAGGACACCTTGAGTCCTGTGGCCAGCAGAGGAGGTCCAGGAGCACAAACTTCCCCTCCTGGAGCCTGTTTGCCTTTGGCGTCCTGTGTTCCTCTAAGGACTCCATGGATTATATGTAAACGCACAAGCAGCGAATGAGAATTCCCCCTTTGAAACAGCTTCTTTGGGTCCCATTGGGTCATGGCAATCTCTGAATAATAAGGAGTGAAAGAGCTGAAGCCCCGGTCTTGGGCACGCCTTGATTTTTCTGGAGACACGGGAAGAACAAACAGTAGCAAGGCCGGGGACTCGACTTTTCCTCCTCTCTGAAGATGATGAAAGTTGTGTACCTGTGAGACCCACTGGGCCCTCCAGCGGTCTCAGGAGAGGCTCTGGGTCGCCAGGGTGACACACCCAGGGAGCTCGGGCCTCTCTCAAGGTCAGCCTCTGCCTCCCAGCCTCCTGCATCTGCTGCTGCTGCCAGCGTGGTGTGTGGCGCCCTGGCTCCCAGCAAGCGCTCCCCTGCATTCCGATGTCACACGGCTCCGTTTCTTCCTTCCAGGGTTACTCTAAGGACATGGTGACAGACTTTGATGAGAAGCATGATGAGTATTTAATCCTACTTCAGCAGAGAAACCGGTAAGATGAAGAAGGGGCCCCGTCGGCAGCCCTTCTTAAAAGTAGTCAAAGAGAAATGTTTAGATTCATTAACGGCATGCGGGCTCTGCTTCACAGGGGAGCGGGCTGCAGGCCACTCGCCCCCTCCGTTGCCTCTCTTCTGGGGCGTAGAACACCGTCTGCCACCACAGTTCCTAGTCCCCCACTCACTGATTAAATTGCGGCCCTTGATTGAGCCGTAGCAAAACCGCGGGACGTGTAAGTACCGCCTCTTGCCTCTCCGCCTCTGTTCCCGGAGAAGGTAAGATTGTCATGAAAAGGAATTTGGCAGGGCCCGCACCGTCGTCACCTGAATAGCCCAGTCTGGGATCTCACAGGTGATGACAGTCTCTGAAATCTGAGCCTGTAATCACGCTGTGTTGTGCTGTAAAGTCAGAGCCGCGCGCACTGTCGTTTGAGGAGGGGGAGGTGGGTATCATTAGCATGCGCGCCCGTTTCTAGCTTTGAGGTGCTGGTTCTTAGAAGAGGCTACAGCAGGTGCAGGGCGAGATGATCCCTGAGTTCAGAGCAGCCAGGCACCATGAACTTGTTTCTTCAGCAGGACCGAGAGACAGACAGACAGACCGGCCATTGGCGTCTGTCCCCAGGCCTGGAAACATGCTGTCAAGATGGCTTTGCAAATCCAGATGCCAGGAGGGGCCAGGTGGTGAGCGAAGCCGGGTTTGTTTGGTTCAGGTCAGCTGTTGTTGGGAACACAGGCCCCCCTACCGGGTCCAGATCCTCTGAGTTTGCCAAACTGCAAATCTCGACTTCTGTTGAGAAGCCTCTGGACTTTGTCAGATGTCGGTAATGAATTCCAATGAAAGCGCAAAACAAACAGAAGAACACAGCAGGCCCAAAAGGCGGAGCTCCAGGAAGGGAGCTAGCTCCTCTGGGCCTCTGAGCTGCGTGTCTGGACCTCAGGGAAGCGGGGAGGGGCGTCCTGCATGGGGATGGAGGTCAGCTGACTTACGTGCGCCGGTGTTTGCCGGCAGCGGCCCTGGCAGCTCGTGGTGCGGGACAAGCTTCCTGGCGCTCAGTAATCCCGTGCATTGCAGTGTAGCTGCTCTACCCAATTCCACCAACAGTCCTGGTGGTCCGTGACAGCCAGATGCACCACACTGAGGTGGCATGAAGGGGACCGGCCTGAGGCACCTGGCATCTCCCTGTGCCCAGCGGCTCTGCACTTGTCTCCCCACCCCCACCCCATTCCCAGGTCCCGCTCAAACAAGAAGAGCAGAAGGTTCATGAGGATGAGCCCCACGTGCGGTTTTGTCATGATTGATGTCACAGAGCAGGAGGTTTTTTTATTCCACGCCGGCAGGCTGGGTGGTGCCACCGAACGCCCGGGGTGATGGCTGTGCATGTGACACATCTACAGAGACAGTGTGTCATCGTTCCTTCTGAGCACACAGCTCCCCCGAAGGGGCGACCGATAGGTGTGCATCTGTGCGGGGACCAGCCGGGAGCGCGGTGCGGATCCCCAGAGACCCAGCTGGAGCACGGAGGCAATTAAAAATACATCCAAACTGAGTTCCCATTGGGGAGGTGGGGAGATGAGGAATATCCTATTTACAAGCAGGAACTGTCTTATTTTTCTTTCTTTTTTTTTTCTTTTAAACATTTACTTATGTGTTTTTAAAAAGCAAAATTACGGAGTGAGAGAGAAACAGAGCAGGAAGGTGGATCGGAAGCGGAGCTGCCAGAGCACGAGCTGGCATGCCTGTGGGGTGCTGGCAGCTCCGGCAGCAGCTGGTTGTGCTGTGCCACGGTGCCTTCCCTGAATGAGAGCTGACTCACCAGCAGGATTAGGAGATGAAGCTGAACAGTAACGGCTTCACATGGGGCGCTGTGAGGGACAGGGCCTGGTGATGCTGCTTGCGGGGTATCAGCCATGGGCCCGGCACCGCAGCCTCGCATAGCATTTTGTCTCCACATTTTGTCACGTCAGACCCTACTTGATTTTTTTTTTTTAATGTTTTTGAGAGATAGAGTTACAGACAGAGGAAATAGATAAAGAATCTTCCATATGCTGCAATGGCCAGAAGTGAGCCAGTCCAAAGCGAGGAGCTTCTTCCCGGCTTCACGCTGTTCACATGGGTGCAGGGAACCAAGGACTTGGGGCATTGTCCACTGCTTTCCCAGGCTGTAAGCGGGGAGATGCATGGGAAATTGAACAGCCAGGACTCAAAGCGATGCTCAAATGGGATGCCGGTGCTGCAGGCAGAAGATTAGCCAACTAAACCCCTGCACTGGCCCTATACACCTTATTTTTATGTTGTCAGAAATAAGAGGACAGAGTCCTACCTCAGCTGCCAATGACCCTCAGGACACTTAGGAGGAATAAGCTGCAGTTGAATTGGAAATGTCTAGAATCAGGCAGAAAACCAGTTTCTGGGCTACACCGTGGACACTGAGTGGACAGTAAACCCAGGCTGTGCAGTCCCAGAAGGAGGTGTCAGGACAGGTTCTTCCTGACAGTGTGGACACCCATCAGATGTGGGGTGATGTTATTCTTGGGTTCAGTCAGCTGGTTTTCATTCTCTGGTTGCCCATGAGATGAGGCGTCCTCCCCCACCACCGCAACCATGTCAGGTGCCCCATCACATGCTCTTATGACACAGGAAACTCCCGACTCGGCTGCCTCCACTCCCCCATTTTGTACAGAAGCGCTGTCTGTCCAGGTGGCCCCAAGGTCAACACAGGGTTCGAGTGGAAGTGACGGCTGTGACGAGCATCAGAGATCTGGTAGCCCTGAGCCTGGGACACTCATCCGTGTCACCTGCCACTGGTTCCAGAAGCAAGCCTCGAGGGTGTCCCTTCCTCTTCTGTCACCCTCAGCAGGCACCTGGGCTGGAAGGGACCGATGCCTGTGGCCCTGCGTGCTCAGATGGCTGTGGGGACCAGGGCAACAGCAGCAAGCATAGAGATCAATCCACCATAGAAAAGCAGTTATGCAGGTGCCAGGGGAAACAGAGGAGTGGGTGGCAGGGCAGTAGGTGGGTGGGGCCCCCTGAGAGAGGGTAGAGGCTGCAGCTGATTTATCTGAGTCCCCCCTGCCTCCATGGAGGACAGCTTCTTATGCAAAGCAGGCCATCAATTAAAACAGAAAACATTTTTCTTTGATGCCACCTGAATGCTACTGATGCGCTCAGCCTCCAGTGAAGGAGTTCCTTTAGCAATTGCTTTCACAGTCTGAATAATTATCTCCTAATTTATCAGTTTCATAAATCCACATTTTCATAAATCATCCTGCTTAAGGAGAGGCACACGGGTTCCCAGGCAAGGGTACGGCATAACCATTAGCACGGTGTCAGGAGCCAGGGTTGAGGCGGGAGAAGCGGGCTGTCTGCTTGGGTGAGCAGAGTCTGCCGCCCCGTCATGGTGCTCCCAAGGGCCCCAGGCTCCTCTCCCTCTCCATGGAGATGCCGATGCCCTTCATGTCTCTTGGTTCTTGGCTCCTCGGAGCGAACACAGCAGCCCGTTGCCATGTTTGGAAAATTGCCTATTGGTTACCTGTGTATTCCTGTTGTTGCCCAACACCCGGGCCTTTGCCTGGCTTTCAAGGCTGGCAGGAGATAAGCAGACTCTAATAAATGCTTCTGCCACGATTGTGGACAAGATGGATGGGCCAGTGGTGGAAGAAATGCTTGGAAGTAAACAAAGCATTCACTAACAGTGTCCCATGGCCGCACTTCCACACACACACACACTTCACACCGTCTCTCCCGGGCCACAGGTGCTCATCTCCCAACTTGGCGCTGATCATATTGGACCTTTCTCGTTTCCTGTCCTTTCCCCCTGCTGCCCTCCCACGCTGAATGGAGCCAAGCCATCCTCCTGTTTGTCCTCAGAGTTCTCATAACTATAGTCATGCACCATTTATTGACATTTTGGCCAACGGTGGACCGTCTGTGCTGCAGTGGTCCCTAGTGATGGTATAGCTGCCTTAGTAAGTGTGCCCCACAATATTTACACAACACACTTGTCCAGTGAGCATTTCTAAGAATGTGTCCCCGTTGTTAAGTGACACCACTGTGTATTACTGTGTAACATCCTGGTCTTCACTTCCTTGGTGTTAAACATTTGAGTTATTTGCAGGGTATTGTTATGACTGAACGCCAATCATCATCTTTTTTCAAATATATATATGTATACATGTATATTTATATACACATACATACATATATACATATGTGTGTATTTGAAAAGCAAAGTAGAGAGAGAGAGAAAGCGAGATCTTCCCTGTACTGGGTCATTCCTCAAATGGCTGGAACAGCTAGATCTGGGTGTTCCATCCTGGTGCTCCATGTGGGTGGCAGGGATTCATAGGGCTTGACCCATCATCTGCTGCTTAGGCACGTTAGCAGGGAGGTGGGGCAGAAGCAGAGCAGCTGGGACTCAAACCAATATTCTGAGATGGGACTCAGGTATCCCCAGCAGTGACTTAACCTACTGTGGGGCAACACCCACTCCCGACCATCTTCTTTTTTAAAAGATTTTTATTTTTATTATTTTTTTATTGGAAAGGCAGATATACAGAGAGGAGAGACAGAGAGGAAGATCTTCCGTCCGATGATTCACTCCCCAAGTGAGCGCAACGGCCGATACTATGCCGATCCAAAGCCAGGAGCCTCTTCCGGGTCTCCCATGCGGGTGCAGGGTCCCAAAGCTTTGGGCCATCCTCGACTGCTTTCTCGGGCCACAGGCAGGGAGCTGGAAGGGAAGCGGGGTCGTCGAGATAGAACCGGCGCCCATATGGGATCCCGGGCGTGCAAGGCGAGGACCTTAACCATTGCGCCACCGCGCCGGGCCTGCGACCATCTTCTTACCCAGAGTTTATGTTCAAGAACAAATTGGCAGAAGGTGCGCGTGGGCAGACACCGAGCATGGGGCGTTTGGGTATTTTTGTATCATTTCTGGGATGAGTCCGTACGCTTCCAACAAGGTCTCATTCGTCCGTTTCAGCATCATCTCACTTGTTTTAGAGGCTGCCCCTGTTGTGGTGATGCCGCTGGCGCTCAGGTGCCTAACATGGCCCTGGCCTTGCTACTGTGTGACATGGGGCAACTTACCTCACCTCTCTGTGCCTCATTTAACTTACCTCTAACATGGGGATAATGAGACAATAACACCATGGGGGTAGCCGTGAATAGTCATGGCCCCAAGGACTCCAGATTTCCTCTCCCCAGGTTTCCTGCTTGGACGAACTTACCTGTTACCCAGTAGTCGAGGCTGGCCATGTGGTGGTGACTCACAGCGAGTGGACGTGAGACACTTGTTCCCAGCTGATGTAGTCTGAGGCAGTTGTCTTGCTTGCCCCGGTTCAGCTCTCCTAGTACCAACAAATGGTCATATGTGCTGTGTGTTTCACCCATGGCAGCTGCTTGCTGGGGACTCTGCTGTTTCAGCCGGCCCCTGGCCATAGTGCCCACATGCTGCCCCGTGTTCCTGAGCACGGCAAGGTTGTCATCTGGTGGAGAAAGCCTTGCATGGTGCAGGCACAGGTCATAGTGCTCTCGGCTGTGAGTTCCATGTGAATGAGCCGACAGAGTCACAAGGTCACATATCGACTGGTGGAGGAAAATGGAACCAGAGACCTGCAGGGAGCAGACCCTGGGTCCCCCTCCCCAGGAGTAGTAGTTCCAATTTGGCTAACTGAGCATTCACTGCGACAAGCAGGTGTAAGGAGACTCAGTCTTATGTGAGAATGGACTTTGGCACAGAGTACCTGCCTTTTATGGGATTACTGTCAGAAATATTTTCTCCCACCCCACTTTTTAAGGTTTTTTTTTTTATTGTAATTGGAAAGACAGATTTACAGAGAGGAGGAGAAAGATCTTCCATCTGTTGGTTCACTCCCTAAGTGGTTGCAACAGCCAGAGCTGAACCAATCCAATGTCAGGAGCCAGGAGCTTCTCCTGGGTCTCCTAAGGCTCTCGTCTCCCCTGTGCATCGTGGGCCGGGCCCACATCACCTGCCTTTGAGTAAAGACACCCACCATCCCTGGGGTAACCTGCTCCCCCTGGCTTGGGGGGTGACAGTGGCCCAGACTCTGCTGGGACAATGGACAAACAATAGCCTGTCTTGCAGGATCCTGAAGCATTTGAGAGCCAAGGACCCGATGCAGCTGCGGCTGGAGCACTTGGAGCAGGGCTTCTCCGTCTACGTCAACGGGGCCAACTCTGAGCAGAAGGCGTCCCCGCGGAAGGCCATGCACCCCGACTCTTCCAGAAGTGCCTCACACGCTGAGGGGATACTTGGTGAGTGCCTCCTTGCCCAGGCCTGAGCATCAGCTGGGGGCTGCAGAGCTCAGCCCCTGCTGGTGAACCTGTGCCCAGAAGTGCACACATGCACTGCATTCATGTGACCAGAGAGGACGCAAGAGAGCGAAAGTCCTGCCACCTGCTAGCTTTGACATCTCCAGCAACCAGCTCCTCCCTGACCCTCCATTTCCTCTCCCTGGGAAATTGGAGTAACTATACCCACATTGCAGGCTGGCCTGAGAAGCCCAGAGCCAGTGGCACACAAGGGCCTTGATTGGCGTTATGTTAATATTCTGCCTCCACCCATGGTAAGATCCCAGGCCAGCAGGGGCTAAGAGAAGGAAGTAGTGTGCTAACCTGTCCCCCCAGGAGAGCCACTGCAGTGCAGCACAGTTCAGCAGGACGCCCCCCTCATCCCAGGGGCAGCCAGGAAACCCCACCCAGGTTCCAGGGAGGGACGGGAGAGCAGGATTCACTGTACTGCGCGTGCTGCAAACAGTCATCCACACAGCAGTTCCGTCTGTTCGTCTCCCCTCTTTAGTACAAATGGCGACCTTTTGTACAAGCAGTTCTTTCCCTTGCTCCTGCAGCCCAGAGTCTGTTCTTTGCGGATATAAAGATCTGCGCTCCACGTGTCATCCTGCAGTGTGGATGTGCCGTGGCTTTCCTCCCCCCACATCCCCCGGGCAGCTGGACGTCTTAGCTTGTTTTTCTAACGTCCTGCTTTGCTGCTGCAGATAGCGCTGCAGAGCGCATTCTCCCGTACAAGACTTCGGGCCCCGCTAACATGCATCTTAGATGTCAGTTACGAAACAAACCCGCGGGTGGGAGCTCGCTCGCCAGCGCCTCACCGTGTCCTCCCCACCTCCGCTGCAGATTACCCGCGAAGAAATCTACTCCGCGAAGCCGAAGACGCCTCCCGGCGCGCTTCCCAGACGGCCCCCAGCAAGGTGCAGCGGCGCGGATGGCACCAGGTCTGGAAACCCAGGGCAGAGCCAAGCCTTACAGCCCTGTCTCCCCTCCACTGGCCCAGACTTTAAAATAAAGGAGCTGGGTGGTTCCTGGACCTAAAACTGTCAGAGTGTCACATCTAGGGGGCGGGGGTCGGCTGAATGTGGTGGTGGAAGGTCTGCTATGTGCGAGCAATGTGCGAGCAGCCAGACCTCTTGCTGCTTGTGTGGTCCTCCCTCTGGAAAGATTCACCCCAGCCCCGCTTGGGAGTGTGGCAAGGTCAGGCCCAGTTCCCCCTGGAGAACGTGTTTGTGCAGCTGATTTTATGGTGCTCCTACTGTATGCCATGCACAGTCTTTAGGTGCCAAGGGACATGGTGAGCTAGGGGGGAAGACAATGCCCCTGTCCCGGATGCTGGTTTGAGTTACTCCCGCTGGCTGCTCAGGTCAGCCCACCATGGGGACCAAGACGCGAGCTGAGCTCACGTACCCCATAGGACTTCTCACTTGGGGCCTCCCGCAGGGACCTTCAGAGTACATCCCAATATCTTCCTTCCCTAGGGAGCTAAGGAGTCAGGTGCTCTGAGAAGACCAGTGAGCCTTTCAACGTCGCAGCTAGGACATGGCAAGGTCAAGAATCCATATCTTTGGCTCCGAGTCCGTTGCTCTGGCCCACATGGTCCTTGATTCCATACCTTGCTGTCATTCATCCTGAATCTGTTCCAGGGTGGTCTCTGCCTTGGCCAACACTGCATTCAAATCCCCTGGGGAGATTTGAAAAGACAGATGCCCGAGGCTCCGCTCCCAGAGAACTGACTAGATGAAAGACCAGGTTTGATTGTGATTATAAAGCTTGTGTTCAGCAGGATCAGGGACTGCATTCTGCACCAGACCCAAGGTATGGGTCGGCGTAAAGGCCATGCCCTGCTCTCTGCACCTGCCTTTATGATCACCCTGAAGATCGGGAAGCATCTCACTGTGCTGCTGAGGAGGCGAGTGCAGGTGCCTGGCTGGGATTGGAACCCTGAGCTAGACACTCCAGAGCCTGAGGACCTGGTTACTTGGCCCCTCACCCTGCTTCTCCCGGGGCCTGCTGGAGTGTGCACCTCCAGCCAGGGAGGCCATCCCTGCCTTATCTCGGTGCAGAGAGCCCTGAGTTCTGCTTCTGTCCCCAGCCATGAATGTTAATTTCTCATTAGCGAGGCCTTTTTCTCCATCCTCTTCTCACTCCCAACAGTTCCCCTAGTGGTTCTGAGTGCCTCCTATTATCAGAAGCCATATTTGTGTCTTGAGCTGTGACTTCGTGGCAGGCCGCAAAGACTCGGTGCCATTTAAAAGACTTGGCCTTGGGTTAATTAGCATCCTTCCCCACTCCCCCCCTCTGGCCCCTCATGTTCTCCTTGAGGGTCTGCACTTCCGTGAGCCTAATCATGCCTACTTTCCTGGCTTCCTGGTGCTGTAAGGACTGTAATTGTCGTCATGCACTCCAGCCATCAGGGGTCAGTCAGGGCCTACCCACAGAGACCACTCAGGCTATTTTAAGCCAACAGGGAAGCCAGGTACTGGCATAATCTTTGGGCCAATGCGACAAGTGGGTTCTAAGCTGAACCTACAGGAAAAGTGCCCAGGAAGGGTACTCAGCTGCTTTAGCCCTTATCTGCCAGGAGTGCTTACACTGTGATGGCCAGAGCTGCTGCCCAGGAATGCCCAGGAACTAGCATGCCACAGACTTTGGCCTCAAGTTACCTCTGGGCCCGTTAGCACTGCCCTAGGAAGAAAGATCCTTGGCCAACTATTGTAGCACCAGGTGCAGGACTAGCTGTGCCCAGCACCTACCTGCTCCTGCCTCCACTTCCTCTTTCCCTGCCATGGGAACCACCTGATTAGCTAAGCCTGAATCACCCCAGGAGCCAGAGCTTGGCTCTCTGGTCTCTGCCACTGAGCCAGGAACCCCGGGTAGAGGTAGAGTGAGGGTGCTTGATGCCCTCCCTATTATGGGCTGTCGTGCCCATATGCAGTGCTGGCATCTCAGGCAGCAGCTTCACCCACTACTCTGCAATCCTGGCCCCAGAAGGTTTTGTGTAGAAAAACTATGTGGAATCCTTGGGAAAATGGGACGTTCCGGCTGCTGTGCTGGGCTGTCCCCCTACCATTAGACAGCCACCAGCAGGAACGGTATAGCAGCTGCCCCCTGCAGGCAGGGCATGAAGCCTCCTCTTGGCCACAGGCCCCACCTGAGACCAGAGGTGGCTACTGTGTATTCTCATTCGTAGACCACTGCCTGGCCACTTCCTGGTTTCCGTTTCTTTCCTGACTCATTGGGGCATTTAGATTTGAGGCCATTGGACAATGGGACAGAGAGCCGAGTGTCCTGCAGAAAGTAGCACAGCATCTCTGAGCTATGTGCCTGCTGACCAGCTGTGCACCCTGTTATCGGTAAAACAGCTTCTCTTGGCTTTGGTTCCATCTTCAAGAAGCCCTCCCGCCCTCCCACGGCTGCTGGGGGTGCGGGCAGGGGAGCCACAGGGCATCCATCGGTGGGGCTGCTTGCCGCAGCAGGTGTCAGACACATCAGAGAAACGGTTCCGAACAGCCTGGCTTCAAAGCCGTGGCTCTACCCCCTAGTGGTCGGGTGATCTTGGGCCATTTGCCTCACCTTTCTCCTTTTAAAGCGGAGTTGGTAACATCACCTGTTGTTGCGTAGTTCCTATAGTGCCCAGGCCTGGCCCCGTCATTGCAAATAACGAGGCCTGACCATTGTTCTTGAATCAGCACAAGGGTGGACTGGGCTCCTCACGGCAGCAGGTCCCTTGGTTCTATGCCCCTACTAAGTTTGGGACCCTCTGTGGGTGCTGAGGTTCCAGCAGGCAGGGAGTTTGACCAGGTGCTGCTCCTCTGGCTCTCATGCTTACAGAGAGGAGAGAGGAGGCCAAGGGCAAGCACATTGATAAATGAGGTGAGAAAGTCCCAGTGACAGAGAACAAAAAGCAGCACGCACCAGCCAGCAGCTGCCTCCTACAGGGCACCCAGCCGGACCCCATGTCAGCCAGAGGCAGCCCTGGGAAGCTGCAGGAGAGTGTCCTTGGTGAGAGCACGATGGGCGATGAGCAGTGGGAAGGGGCTCAGGGAAGACAGGGGCATGGCCAATACGTGACAGCAGAGAGGGTGAGGGTGACTTTGGCACCCTGGGTAGGCAGGGTCATATCCCACGAGGCCTGGAAAGAAACACAAAGGATCTGGACTTTAATCCCAATGTAGGGACACCCAGGGAGGGTTCTAAGAGGAGCCATGACTACATGTGTGTTTGTGGGCAGTTCACATCTGCCGTGTACAGGAAAGACTGCTCGGAGAGGTCTATGGCTCCAGGAGGGCCCTGGGAACTGATACAGCTCTCTTCTTGCCACCTCCATGCCATCCCCCCGCCCCGCCTCCAGCTTCTGTTCTCTGTCCCCAGCAACAGCGCCCACCTGGCCCCTTGCACCTGTTCCACGCTAGTTTTCCTTTTTCTCATTATAGGGTTGTTAACACTTTCCAAGACAAAGATCATCTGACAACACTCCCCTTCCCTGATCCTGTCAGTATTTGGTCCTTGGGTGGGAGCCCAACTACTAGCCTTGTAACCTGCGTGTGAGGCTCACTCCTGCATCCATGGCCGCAGGGAGAGGTGGGGCCAGGTCATGGGAAGCAGAGCATGGCAGCCAGTGAGCCGTGGAGCAGGCTCTGTGGGTCCCAGAGCCTCTCAGGGAGGAGACAAGGGCTGCGCTAAGGAATAGACTGGAGCTGCCATCGTCAGGGCCAAGGGCCTGGGCTGTGGGGGTAGGAGCCCGAGCAGTGAGCAGGGGGATGCATGGTTCTGACTCGTCCCTTGGTCCTGACCTTCTTAGTGGGCTCCGCCGCTTTCGAAGGCAGCTGAGGGCTGGTGGCGGGAGACAGGTGGCAGGACCCCTCACGTCCAATGACAGTCTCAGAAACCACTGTATCAAGAGAAGGACCGTGGCCTCCTCCCAGCCCGGGGGCTTCTTCCTCATCTGAACCTGCGCACCTGGAGGTCACTCTACCTCTTCCTGGTGGGCACAGCCATGTCGGCCAGGGACACGGCGGTCCCGAGGCACAGTGCGTGCCTTGAGCTCCAGCTGTACTCACAGCCAGCACTGCTGCCCACTCCCACCCCGTCTGGTCCTCTTCCTTCTCTACCTGGCTGTCTTGCAGGCTTTTCTCAGCATCTTCCCAGAACTCTTTCAAGCCATACATCCCATGTTCTCTGACCATGCCATGCCCAGTACCCTAGCCTCTTCCAGTACTGTACGTTCCCCTTCTGAGGGTCTGACACAGCTCGCAGAAAGCAGCCTGGGGCCGAGGGGCAGTGTGGGGCTGTTCCAGCAGGCACCTAGCCATTGGGGTTCCTGGGTCCCAGAATCATTCAAACACCTGCGGCTCTAGCACCCATCCCAAACACTCCGATTCTGGGGGTCTGGGAGGCTAACGGCGGCGGCCGTGCAGGCTTCCAGATGGCCACTTTGGCCGTGGAATCGGCTGGTGGTGATAAATGGGCTCTTCCTCCTACCGTCCTCCTCCCTCCCACCCCCACCCCTTCCAGGCCTCGGATCTTTCTGCTGCTACCAGTGGATTAAGATTTATGGCTTCCTCAGCCTTGTAATACTTGGGTGGACAGCGGCCTAATCAACACAGCCGTCGTTTACCAAAATGCTGTCAGGTTTGATGAACGTCATCGGCTCCCAGCATTAAATTGGTAGTGAAGGGATTGGCCTTCCAGCAATTTACTGTGGGGTGGGCTTTCCTTAAAGGTCTCAAAAGCAAGTTCATTGCCATGATAAAAGCAGAGACTCCACTCTTCCCCCGCCCCCGCCCTTGCCACCCTCCCTTCCTCTGCCACATCCCGTTTCCTGTTGTGACCTAGGTGGCCGAAGCACCTCCTAGGAAGCTGGCCAGTGAACATGGGAAGCCATGAGGGCCTTTCCTACAGCGACGACAGCAAATGTAACAGCCCGGAAAGCACCAGGCTTTCCCGTGACCTTGCACAATGCAGGCTGTCAGAGCATCAAGTGCCAATGCTTGGAGGCCTTCAGACACATCCGGGAAGAACAGATCAAGCAAGGCATGCTCCCCACCCCAGGCTCTGCTTTCATCCTCTAGAGGGCGCCATTGATACAGCGCACAACCTGCACAACCCTGGGGCGGGCCCCCATCCTTGGAATATGTGTGTGTGTGTGTGTGTGTGTGTGTGTGTGTGTGTGTGTGTGTGTGTGTGTGTGTGTGTAAGCGGGTGCACATGTGTACTTGACAATAAGCTTAGAGGGATGGTAGATATGCGCAAATAACCCTGAGCATGAACTGGGTCCAGTGTGGACTGGGACCCCCTGGGGCTGGCCAGTGGGAACCGGAACGTTGGGGTGGCAGGGTTTTAGAGCCTCCTGCTGCGTAGACCTCCCCATAAGGGTCTACCAAGGTCTGGGCGCTGTGTAAGTAGGCAGGAAAGAGCAGCCGCTTGGAAACACCCACTCCTGGCAGAGAGAGCAGCCCGCCAGGCGGGGAGCCAGGCAGGAGCGCAGTCATCAGCCCGTGCAAGGGCGTGCTGGTGGGAGGCTGGGAGCACTGCAGGCCCGCTGCTGGGGGGCCCGGACCGGGAGCAGACCTACCTCAGCCGGCTCCCAGGGGCGGCAGGGGGCCTTCCCCAGGCCTGCGAGGAGGGGGGCGCGAGCAGGCCAGATGGAGACTCTATTTATTCCTCCCTCCTCAGGCACCCACTCAGCTTAGACACTCTTTGTGGACCGTGGTAATTTTGTCACATGTTGCTTCATAGGCACCCTTCCTCCCTTTCTGGGAGCTGGGTGCTCAGCGAGCTCTTGCCCCTGGAAGCTTCCTGGGCAGTCTGTTCTCAGGGAGGACCGACAGGCCCTGGGTCCAAATGCCCCCCTGCAAACCTTGTGTTTGCTCCTCAGAGGTGTTGGCGGGCCCAGTGCCATCAGTAAGCCGCTGAGGGGCAAGGCTGAGTACACCGCAGAAACCACAGAGGCCTGGGCTCTCCCGGAACGCCGGAGCACCTCTCTGCTGCGTTTTAAAATTCAAATCAGTCGCAAAGCTATCTTCATCCCAGCTCGCTCCCTCTCTTCTCTCTCCCTATAAAATGCATTTTCATTTTATTTGAAAGACAGAGAGAGGCACAGGGATCATCCATCCACCAGTCCACTCCCCGACTGCTGCAACAGGCAGAAGACAGGAACCTGGAATGCCATCTCCCGTGTGGGTAGTAGGAACCCAAGGACTTGAGTCCAGTAGTTGCCTGCCAGGCTGCGTGTTAGCAGGAAAGCTGCAACCGGAAGTGGGGAGGGCAGGACTGAAGCCTGGCAATCTGACACGGGTACCCCAGGCATCGTCCTGGTGGCACCATATGCCCGGCCCCATCCCAGGCCGATCACTTACTTGGCTCTCTCACACTCTGGTGTGGCTGGACCCAGCAAATCCAACAACGTCATGGGACTCATTCTCTCAGCTCTCCTTTCCCTTCCATGCTGCCGTGTGATCCCAGGATAGCCATGAGAAGTTGCCATTTGCATTCTACCACCTGCCGTTGCCTCTCCTTAGGCTCCCAGGCACATCTCTATTCTGATGGGCCGAGTCTGGATCCTAGCTCCATTCTCCCCTGGGACGGGGGTTCAGTGCCACTTGCTTTAGGGGGCACGAAGCAGGGAGGATTTCCTAGAAGAAAAGCACGATGCTTTTGCTAGAACACCGTGGGGAGCGCTTCCGATCGCCAGCCACACAGACCTCATGGTGTCTGTTCTTGCTGAAGCGCACCTGCTGACTCTTCGGGCGAGGAGGGCAGCAGTAGTCCACATTTCTCACAGATCAGGGCAGGCCGGTGGTACTTGTTCGTGAATTGTACCTGGAGAGGCACAGGCATGGTGTCGAGAGTTAGGCGCCCCCCTCTTCCTCACACTCTCTCCTCCCTCTCCGGAAGGCTCCTGGCATTGGGTCACCACCGAGCGTTTCCGAAGAGAAAGGAAGAATACTCATCGGCTGGTTCATGCGAAATCCATCTCCTCCCAGCTGAGGCAGGGAGGTCTCCAGGAATGCCCTGGCCCAGGATGCCCCTGGCTACCTGCATCCTTCCTCCACCAACCTTGCCCCTGAGGCTAATACTGGCTTTGAGAACAAGTGGGCAAAGCCTGGTGGAAGTCCTTGTGTCGTTTGGTCCCAGAGCAGCTAAGCAGGGCAAGGTGGAATAGGAGGAAGTAGAACAGATGGGCAGGCCCAGGTCAAGTGCAGGATACTCAGAGCCCAGGGGCATGTGGAAGTTTCTGGAAGCGTGCAGTGCCGCCTTCTGCATCTTGTCTCCCTGCTCACAAGCAGGGAGATTCCTTGGCTGTTTTTCCAGCTCCCTGTGCTTTCTCCCTCCAAGTTCTTTGCGTAGAATCATGTGTAGGTTAGCCACTGCCTGCCTGCCTTCTGTGCATTAGATCATTCGAGGGCATTGTCTGATCCCCTCTCTGGTCTCTGCCGTAGCCCAGGAGGGGCCCGTTTATTCCTCTCGGGCCTGCTGGGACAGTGTAATGTGGTGGCTTCGAACGGGTATTGCTTGATAAACTGCAGCCCCAGGGCTGGAGCCAGCCTCAGCCTGTTTTTGTAAATCAAGTGGGATTGGAAGGCGGCCAGCCCGTTTGTTTAGGCTTCGTCTGAGGCTGCGTTCAAGCTGCAGCGGGGCAGTCGAGTATTATGGCAGAGAGCGCACACTGACAGGGCCTAAAATGTATACTCCCGACCGTTTACAGGAAACGCTGGCCAGTCCGCAGTGTAGCGTCAGGCCTCTGGAGCCATGCCACCGAGATTTAACTCTCAGCTGCGTGGCTTCCCAGCCGAGTGACCTCAGATGAATGCTTAATCCTCTTAGTCCTCTGTTTCCCCTGGTGCCTGTTGTGAGCAGTTACATGAGCCAGTGCGCCTGGAACAGGTAGAGTGACAGCCAATCCATGTCAGGTGACATGGCACCTGCAGCGAAAGCACAGGTGGGAGGCAGGAGGCATGGCACAATGTCAGCTTGGATCGTGCTGCACCCATGTGGCATGTGAGTTAAGCCACCACTTGGAAAACCTGCATTCTGTATAGGAATGTCTGGGTCAAGCCCCAGCTCGGCTTCTCATCCAACTTCCTGCCAGTGCGCACCCTGGGAAGCAACAGGTGACGGCCCCGGGACTCGATCTCTGCCACCCATGTGGGAGACCCAGATGGAGCTCTGGTCTTTCCCAGACCTGGCTATTGTGGACATGTGGGAACTGAATCGGCAGATGGGAGATCTTTCTTTCTCTCCCTCTCTGTCAAGTAGGATAAATGAATGCATTTGAAGAAGGAGGCTGGATGCAGGGTCCCAAGGCTTTGAGCTGTCCTCATCTGCTCTCCCAGGCCACAGGCAGGGAGCTGGATGGGAAGCTGGGCTGCTGGGATTAGAACCAACGCCCATATGGGTTCCTGGTACATGCAAGGTGAGGATTTTAGCTGCTAGGCTACCGCATTGGCCCCCCCAGCCAATACTTTGAAGCAGAGGTAGTGTCATATGTGGTGCTTGTGGGTGGTCCCCTAGCGCAGGGTCATGGTTCCATGCTCAGTCCTTGCCCCCAGGCTAGTGTGTGCTCCTCAGAGAAGCACAGGTGTCCACTGATACCCCCTCACTGCCACTTCTGTGTCTGACGCCATCTAAATTTTTGTGTCTAGAAATCAGTGCAGATCAAAACAGAAGCCGGCTCCAGACTCCACATCGAGCCCCCGCTGGACTACTCGGAAGATTTTGAGTTGAGTGAGGATGCCGAAGCCAAAAGCATGGATGCTTCTGGGGATCAGCCACAGGTAGGGGGTCGGCCTTGGCCTCAGAGAACTACACTGGCCCCTGGGGACACTGTCTGCCACTTTATTCATGCCATCCTCCCTCACTGAGCCCCTTCCCTCTTACGTCCATCCCACCACACTCCGGCGATCACACTCCGATCCCAGCTGGGTTGCCTGCTGCCCACAGGCTGGGGAGGAGGGAGACGTGAGGATAAAGCTTGGCCGGAAGAAGTGTGAGGCGCTATCCAGCAAGGCTTCCCAGAGGAGGTGACTTTGCCCTGAATCGTAAAAGCTGGGTCAGAGTTTGAAGGGAAGGTAGGCAGGCGGAGCCGATGCCCAGCCTGTCTGTCCGCGTGCAGGTGCACGTGCTAACACATGTTGCCTGTCACCCTGCGGGCTGCAGAGAGCTCAGGCACAGGCCCCCGGCCCGCCCCCCGAGGCCCACGGAGCTGTGGCTGCGAGTCCTTTCATCAGTGCAGGGGTGCACGACCTTGACAGACATCTACTCCCCGTCCCCACCCTGCCACTTCCTCTCAAGTCCTTTGAACTGCATTGCTGCCGGCCGGGGCGGGGGCGGTCTTCCAACAACTGTGACAGGTCAAAGTCAAGTTTGCTAAGCTGGGCTCTGAGCAACATCAGCCCAGCCGTGGGCCCAGCTGTGTGTGCCACGGCCTCACCACAAGGGCCGAGCCTGGCTGAGGGATGACTCATTGACCTGGCTTCCCTACCCAGTCCAGAAGTGGGAATTAAACACTAGGCAAGATTGTGGTCTTTATTGCCTTGAAAACTCCCTTCCCACACAACACACGTGCACATACTTGCACACACATCCACACACATGCACACACGCACACACACACACCGCTTCTGAATCAGAACAGTCCCCTGCTTGGGATCAATGCACGCATACTAAGCCGCCCATTTCCCTTCATGCACGTGGCTGATTCTCAGCCAAGTTTAACCTTGGCTGTACATGCAAGGGGCCGAGGTAGCTTGCCATCTGTCAAGCATCCAGCACCTTCTGTTCAGCTAGCACGTGGTCCTTCCCTTCTTCGGGCCACCCGAGTCCCCTGACCCGCAAGGTGCGCTGGCTCCCTCACAGGATCCTGGGTCCTGTTAACATTCCTCTGTACGCATGCTCAGAATTGCCATGGCCGCTCGTCTATCAGCACTTCATTTTCTTCACTATGATTGTAATTCTTTTCCTTTTCCAAAATAACAACAACAACAACAAAAAGAAAAGCAAACACCGCCTTGAGGGAGCCCTCGTTAAGGCTTCCCAGTCAATTTCCTCCTTGGAGTTTTTTTTTTTTTCCTGCCGAACAACACAGTGGAGTGGCAATGCCAGTATTTCCGTAATGGCAGAAGCCTTCGGAGATGCAAATGGAACGGGCAGAGGGAAAGACAAGCAGGGCTGCAGGCACCCGGCTGCTGCACGGTGTTTGCTGGGCTGCGACAGAGCAAAGGGAAGGCGCGTCCCGGAGGCTGCTTTTTCTCCGACCTTTACTGTTAAAACACTTCAGCCTCTTGGCCTTCAGTCGCACTGTCTGTGATCTTCAATTTCTTGGCGCCCCGGGTTCACAGACCTGCACGCGACAGACATGTGCGCCTGGCTTCCACCCCGCCGACCTGCACAGTGCTTTGAAAAGATGTCAATTACCAGCTGACATTTAAGAGTCGGGAGATTCTGTGTGAAAACCTGAATTGGGAGCTTGTGTTGACAGACCAGAAGGCTTAGGATCCTTGTTCTTACTCTTTTCTTCTCTTTTTTTTTTTTTTAATATTTACTTATTTTTACCAGAAAGTCAGATTTACAGAGAGAAGGAGAGCCAGAGATCTTTGATTCATTGGTTCACATCCCAAGAGGCCAGAATAGCCGGAGCTGCGCTGATCTGAAGCCAGGAGCCTGGAGTCCCTTCCAGTCTCCCACATGGGTGCAGGATCCCAAGACTTTGGGCCATCCTCGACCGCCTTCCAAGGCCACAAGCAGGGAGCTGGAAGGGAAGTGGAGCAGCCAGGCACCAATATGGGATCCCAGTGCATTTAAGGCGAGGATTTAGCTACTAGGCTCCAACCCTGGGCTCAGGATCCTCGTGCTTGTACCAGAGCGATGACTGGAGCTGAGGGCGGGGGGTGGGGGCGCAGGTGTCCCCTTAGCTGGATGTGTGTGCCACAGTCCCCACCACAAGCTCTACACACTGCAGGTGCAACAGGTGACAGGGCAGGTGTTTGGCGCAGCCGTGAAAGTGCCGCTTGGGCCACCTACCCCTGTCCCACACGGAAGTGTGCCTAGGCTTGAGCCCAAGCTCTGCCCCCGATTCCGGCTTTCTGCCGACGTGCACCCTGAAAGGCCAGGCAAGCCAGCAGGTGACGAGTCCAGCAGGTGGGGCCCTGGCACCCCTGTGGGAGAGCTAGGTGGGTTTCCTGGCCCTGGCCTTAGCCTGTCCCAGTCCCAGCCGTTGTGGGCATTTGGGGGAGTGAATCAGTGCACTGGAGCTTACACATACCCCACATGCTTGCTTCCATCTGTGTGTGGGTGTGTGTGTGCACAAGCTTGGGTATCTGTCTTTCAAAGTAGAAAGCTATTAAAAGTGGTAAGTGAGTATACATGTATATACATATATCAGGTGGAGATAGGGCTTATAATCCTACTTAAAAATATATCTATGTATTTAGGGTCTGGTGCAGGAGCCTAGTGGCTGGTGTCCTTGTCTTACATGTGCTGGGATCCCATATAGGCGCTGGTTTGTGTCCTGGCTGCTCCATTTCCCTTCCAACTCCCTGTTTTTGACCTGGGAAAACAGTAGAGGATGGCCCAAAACCTTAAGACCCTGTACCCATGTGGGAGACCCAGAAGGAACTCCTGGCTCCTGGCTTCAGATTGGCTCAGCTCTGGCCATTGGGCCTCTTGGGGAGTGAACCAGCAGATGGAAGATTTTTTTTTCTCTGTCTTTCCTTCTCTCTGTAAATCTAACTTTGCAATAAAAACAAATAAGTCTAAAAATATATACTTCTCTTATTGAAAAAGTTACAGAGAGTGGGAGAGAGAGATCTTCCATCTGCCGGTTCGCTCCCTAAGTGGTTGCAATGGTTGGAGCTGAGCTGATCTGAAGGCAGGAGTTTTCTTCAGGTCTCCCACATGGGTGCAGGGTCCCGAGGACTTGAGCCATCCGCCACTGCTTTCTGAGGCCATAAACAAGGAACTGGGTTAGAAGTGCAGCAGCTAGAACTCAAATCAATACCTCCATAGGATGCTGGTGCTGTGGCTGGAGGATTAGCATGCTGTGCCACCAGGCTGGCCCTATAAACCTACTTTTTTTTCTTTTTACTTGACAGTATGCCATAACCATCTTTGCATTTCAGAATCACTCAGGCATCATAAAGCTCAGTACATCCAAGCACTGCTCCTGAATGTTGGTGGCCCGCAGTTTGAATCCTGGTCTTTTTGTTTACTGGTGCTGGCACAGCAGGAGTACAGTCTGCTCACCTTCGGAAGCGAGAGCAAAGGGTGATGCAGTGTGGAGAGGGATGGGATGCAGGGACCCCAAAAGAAGAGGGAACCCCCAGCATGCCTTCAGGATGGTGGCTGCACCTGCCTTGCCTGGTTCTCAGTGCTTGTCCCTGTGGTACCAAGTCCCCCACCAGCTTGACCCTCCTGGATACATGGACAGAGAAAGAGTCTTCCTGGCTTTCCCGGGAGTTGACGGCAAGGTTGATTTCCACCATCTTACTTCCCCTACCTGAACTGCTGGGATAGAAGGTGGGCCCCACGAGAGAGTTTGTGGCAATCACACAGATTCACAGGAGCATTTGGCTCAAACGGGAAAAAAACCCAACCAAACACACACACACAAGCCCAATTCTGGCGTGCCCACCAGAAGACCCAAAACAGGAGAGATCAGACTTCCTGACAGCTTTTTGTAAGTAAGAGCTCGCATTACGTGAGAATATACCAAGTGCCAAGGAGCACGTGGAGGATGGCATGGACGTGCTATCCGTTGAGACCTTAGCCCTGTGGATGACATGCTCAGGGTGTTCATCCCACGTCCCAGTCTGAGGAAAGCAGAGAGCAGGGAAGTGGCGCTGCTGACCCAGGCCTCAGGAGAGCTCGGGCCGCACCACTGAGTGGAATGAGCAGTGACAGGCCGGGAACCGCACCGTCCCGTGTTTGCTTGAGACCATGCCAAGTGCATTGTGAGTATTATTGATCTCAGGGCTGGGGGCAAGGTGCTCCAAGGAGGCCATCCGTCAGCCAGGCTGCGTACTATTTTGCATCACAGCAGAATGAATCTCTCCTTGGCCCAGGCGCTCCCCAGTGAAACCACAGCTGAGAACATTGATGACAAATGTTCTTCTAAAACAAAATCTGATGAGGTCAAGTAAAACCAAACCAGACAGACTCAGGTTGAGGGGAGAGTCTGCAAGCTGACCAGCGTGGATTCTGCTCAAACGTCAGTGGCTTGAGGCCTGAGAAAGGCGAGGGGCTGTTCTGGTTAAAGCAGGATACTGCGATTTCATCCTGAAGCAGTGTAGGATGGGGGAAATTGTGCCACTGGAGCATGGTTTGGGGAAATTAACAAGGTTTGAAACTGGAGTGTATTAGACAATGATGTGGCATCAACATTTAGTTTCCTGCACCCAGCCCTTCTCCTGTGGCGATAGCAGTCAGCTTTGTGTTACTATAACCAAAAATACCTGAGAGGAGCTACTCCGGATAGAAACAAGCTGATTTCAGCACACAGTTTTGGCAGTTCACAGGCCAAGAGCTCCCGGCCTCTTGGGTGGTCGGACACATGTGGAGGAAGGAGGAGCATGTGGTGAATGAGAAAGAGGAGGAGAAAGGAGACCGAACTGAGCTTAGATAACCAACCCTGTCCCAGGGGAGCCTCCGGTGAGCCCAGACATCAGTCATACCCTGGACACTAGAATCACATCCAGTCTCTCTCCCTTAATACATTGACCATTAGTATTAATCTATTGGCTGCTACCCTAAGCCTTTAGGGACCAAGCCTTCAGTTCCC